TAGTATAATCAGATCTTTAGAGATATCTTTTAATCTTTTTACAAATGTCTTTACGAGTATTTTCTGGTAGAAAGAGTTATTCAATCGAATACCCAACTGAGAATGTATATATTTGTACATGTATACATTGTCGTTGTTAAAATTTATATAACAATATTCATTAAACCTTCGTGGTAAATTAAAATTTGATTCGTTTACATATTGAAGTACGAGAATGTCATTAATACATTCGTCAACATGCGGCAGAAATCAAGACAACGAAAAGAAATAAATCAAAATCGGTTGTTCCAGAAGAACATTCTCCAGTGGTTCATAATATAATATTAGATAAACCAGTGAAGAGAAGGTCAAAACAATTTATAGAAGATTTTTAGGACTGGGAATCTTGGTAATTTACTCGATGATGAAAGAGAAGGTGAATTAAGGTACTTCCTCTCTGCTCCAAAAATAATTGATTTTCGTCAGAAATGTTGAAATGTAAATAAATGCATAGACAGATATGCTGTCTTTGGATCTTTTCGAAAAAGCATGAAATTTCTTTTTCGAGCTTTGTTTTTTTCAAAATTTCTGATAATTTCCATCCTTTACTACTCGAAAAACAAGCATTTTTTTGAAAAAGCGAAAAAATTTTTCGTTATTTCTTAGTTCCTGTTTTGTCAAAAGCGCAAGCAAAAATTTTCCGTTCAGACTCATATGATACTTTTGATTTTTTTTGTTGGGAAGAGCATGTTAAAATGCAATGCACAAAAGAGTCCTTTTTTTGGAATAAGCTTTTTTATTATCATGTAAGAAAACACTTCCATAGAAATATTCTCAGTTTTTGAGAGTATTTAAAGTCATTAAACTTGTAATCCCTCTTTGATGCACTGTGTCTTGACATGCTCTTTAAAAAAAAATGTTGTACGAGTCTTGGCAAAGAGATTTTATTTATTAAATAGGCTAATTTTGATCCTTGTTTGGTGAACATCTCAGGCAATCTTTATGGTGCGAAGCTGAGAATTTTACCATAGCTTCTCCGCTAGAGCTCCAAATATCCTGAAAATTTCAGCTAAATAAGTTGTACCCGAGTCGAGATCGATTTTTGAGGGCTCTTTAACGAGTATTTGGGACAGATTATTGATATTGAAACGATTGATGATCACCCTTTAGCATTTTGGTATGAATATCGATTTATTTATACTATTTTAACTCGATTTGCAGGTTTAGTTAATTTCATTGCAGCTACTGCAGCTAATGTAGCAAGTCAATCTAACGCAAGTGGAATAATGATTATAGTTTGAGATGTCCTAAATTCAATCCTGACCAAATTCACAATGCTAGTTTTTTGCTTCAGTAAAAAGAATAAGTGACTGGTTATTGTTTTCTATTATTAAGTATTTGTTTTCTACTTCGAAATTATCTTTATGTATTTGAATTGTGCTTTTTCACCAGATTAAAGTACAATAGTAATTACGAAAATTTACTAAAAAATTTGTACATAAATAGTCCCTGAAAACAGATTTTGAATGAGACGGAGTGGGGCGGGGCGGAGCGGTGGCGGTGTGAGTATTGACGGGGCGGGACGGTGGCGATGCGGAACTTTATCGACAGGGAGGTGGTGGTGAGACTTTTTTGCCGCTCTGTCCATCTCTGGTTCATGGTATTCATGTGGAAAAGATGACCGTTTACAAGTTATGAAAAAAATAATTAATAAAGAAAATTTTCCACTTGTTTGGTATGATGAAGGAAAAAATTTATATTCAATTGAAAATTTAATGTTAAATTTAAGAAAAAAAGAATATCAATATGAAATAAATGATAAAAATACTGGACAAACAAATAGTTTTCGTTTTTTAATTCTTAATCTTGCTAAAATATATTCATTAAAAACAATATTTGATTTTATTCAAAAAAAATTTCAATTAAACCACATGATCTTGTTCAAATTCTTGAAACTTTATTTAAACAAACACAAAGATCAGCTATAATTACTATTAAAAATGAATCGTATAGAAAACATCAACGTTTAGATGACCTTGATACCAAAAAAAAACTTTTTATTTGAAAAAAAATTATTTTGATTTTTTTTTCAGGTGGTGGAATTGGTTTAGCATCAGGTTTCTATCAATCAATTGTACTTTGTGAACGTAGTTTAACATTAAATATAAATAAATCATTTGTGTCTTTTTATCAAAATTGTAATTTAGTTCAATTTCTTTCATGTTATATGGGTCATGATATTCAAAAAAATGGTTCGTGATTTTTGTGTTTATCAAAGTTTTATTATTATTATTTTTCTTGAAGAATTGATTATCAATGAAGATAATCGATTAATATTAATTTATATTTCCTATTAAATGCTTATAGATTCTTTTAATCTTCAGAAAAGAGAATACAGATTAAGATGTTCGTGGTTCCTCTCACAACAAATTCCCTATTGAAATTTTGAAAGAAAAAAAATGAGCTTTTTAGTGTATGATGTTTTGATCACTGATCCTTATGGATAGAAATGGTTGAGTTCAAGATTTTGAAGGCTCGAACTCATATGTAGTGGCGGATTTAAGGGAAGAACTAGGAGTGTTACAGTTCAGCTCTAGTTCCGATCAAAGGAGCTGTTCGATCGGTTTAGCTCTTTTGAAAGGAGCTGTTTGAACAGCTTCTTTTTCAAAAAGAACTAACTATTCGAACAACTCTAGTTGTTGAACTGAACTTTTTGAACAGTTCCTTTTAAAAGAGCTGAACTGTTCGAACAAGCTCTCTTCCACGAACCGATTGACATTAAGTCAAAAATGCTACTCAGAACTTTCTAGGGTCTACTTCAACATAGCACTTACAATTTTTCGAGGCTGTGTAAGGATGGCCTTCATAGCTTTTCAGGGACTATCTGTGGGTAAAATCCTTATCTTTTTGTGAGTTATTCAGCAGCAGTACCTAGAACTGTTCAAGGGTTACCTGCTGCTTGTACTTTTAACGTTTTAAGGGTCATCTAGGGGTCGTACTTAGGGTTGTAACAGTTCAGCTCTTTTGAAAAGAGTTATTCAAAAAGTTCAGCTCCTATCAAAAGAACTTCTGAACAGCTTTTTCGTTCCAATGAGCTGAACTTTAGAGCTGGAGCTAGTACATTCCTAGGAAGGACGTTGGGGGCGATCGCCCTTATTCCATAAATTTTTTTCCAATATACATCCAATAGTGAGCCTATACTATCTCTAATAGGCTTCAACACATGGTTTTTTTTACCATAATCACTCCCATCTCCCTGTGAAGTGCCTGCTATGATAAAAATTCTAGATCCGCCATCGCCCATATCCGAGGTCAACTCAATTTATATAAATTTGTTCATATGCAGATTCGTCCCATGATACCGTAAATAAAGTCATGTTATTAGAATTCAAGAGTAGCCTCAAAGATATGGAATAAGATTCCTCTGTTATTTGTATTTGATGACTGAAATACCTTGGATTGTACATGTCAGAGACTTCTTGGTAGAATTTTTTGGATCCGAATCTGATTAACATAAAGTTTTAGACTCGAATTTGAATCTTCCCTGGCGTTGTCTATTTTCGTTGGCAAAATTAAGTAAAAGTGGAGGTGTAAGATGAATATCTCGAACAGGGTAATAGCTACCGATCTGAGAGTTTACCGTTCGAAAGAAAGAGACTTATGACATGTTTTTTTAGGATACTATTCAAGATGAATTTATTGCCACACTAACGGTTTTTGTACATCTTTTTGAAAAAAGTTTAATAATCTCTAATGAAATTTTGATAAAGGTTAAAAAAATTTGATTAAAGATCAAGGCAATTCTCTTTTATTTTAGAAAGTAAATGCGCTAATTCATTTACTCAATGTTAGAATGTAAGAAAATAATCATTCGTATTATTTCTTGAACTATAGATCTAAAGTCCTATCTAATAAATATTTCATTTGAATTACATTGCATTATTATACATTTTTCATAAATATTTACAAAAATGATTATTTTATTAACAATATTATTTTGAATTGTGTCGTATGAAAGTAAATCCTAAGCAGGGATCTGCACATGAGAGTGACACAAAGGAGGTCGCGTTCTCCCACTTTTAAAAAATGATATATCCATCCTACCAATTCTCAAAAGATTTCTTTTGGATCCTTCATTTTTCCCTCGGTACATTTCTGTTCATAACTATTGTCGGCGACAAAATTATGTTGGAGTGAGTGTAAAACAAATATCTCGAAAACAGTAACAGCTAGAGATAAAGGACTTTCATAATATAGAATAGCTAGACTTAGGACCAGGGATGTGCCGAAGAGAAAAAAATGGGGAGGGAGTTCAAAAGAAATTTTTTGAGAATTGATAGGACAGATATACGATTTTTTAAAAGTAGGGAAACCAAATTATTTTTTCCACTCTAAGACCTTTTTTTGGATAAAAAAAAGACATTTTTGATAGAAAAAGTAAAAAATGAAAATTTTTCAAGTGAGACATGCGACTCTCTCTGTTCCTCCCGGTGGACACATTCCTGGTTATGGGTCATGTTTTTCATGATTCAATCCTAGACAACATAAGTTTTTTCATGAATGAACGGTCGAGTCATCAGATATCGACCTTTGCGACTTTCCAATGATTGATTACAAGACTCGTTTTTTTAATCATTTGTTCTTCCTATACTGAGAGTCACTATTTTCCTATGGGTATGTTATTTATTAAGTGAAGGAATGCAAAGAAGAGATAATATTATTTCACATTTGTTTATATTTGTATTGTTATTTTAGGTATTCAATTAAAAGATCAGGCATTACTTGTTCGAAAAATATTAAAATTTCTTTGGTTTATCATGTTATGTGATGAAGATGCTTGTCAATATCGTTTAATATCATTTGGTCGTCCAGCAAATCAGCATAAATATATTATAAATGGCAATGAACAAATAATAGCTGTTGATTATTTTAATGATAAATGGAAATTTCCTTTACGTTATCCACATTTACCTGTTGTTGAATTATACCATTCAAATGATAACAATCGATTATATGCTTTACCAATGGAATTAGTTGCTGTTGATAAAGGAAAACCAAATTTACAAACAATCACAACTGAACAACGTACTGAAGCAACAAGAAAAACTCTTGTTCATCCTGATAAATGTTATAGAATGATTCAACGTACCCATGTAAAAATAAATCAAGAAAAAACGGGATTTTAATCGATTTTTTTGTGATTAAAAATCGATTAAAATGAGACGATTTTCATCAAATTTTAATCAGATTCCTTGAATTTTAATCAGTT